ATTCTACTGGACTGTTGCATGTTTACTTGTGTCATCTCCATCTGATCTCTCCAAGATCTTTTGTCCACAAGACTGCTCTCAGCCAGCATCCCGCATTTCCGTAATCTTTGTGCATTCGTCTTTCTGTGCAAAACATGCGCGACAGTAAACAGCTTTACGCACAACAACCTTTTGGGGTTCGGAGAAACGGACCTACAACTTTCCGTGAAAGAGCAGGGACAGGTCTCTCGTCCGCTAGATATGCGTCATAGGCTCTGAGACGAACACACCGGTAAAACACATGGACAACGGGGAGAGTAAAGGACAGGAGATCAGCAACACAGTCGCTTACGCTGGAAAGCAATGTGGGAAGGGAGAGGAGGTCGACGGATGTCCGACAGTAGGGGGCTCGGCGTAAGGCCGAGAATTAAGGGTATGGAGGACGGAACTCGTGAAATGGAGGAAGAGGGCAAGAGGAATAGGAGGAGGGAGCTATGACATTTGACTTATGATGACGTCTAACAATGATAAGAACTTTGTCAACCTTAAGCTTCTAAAGACTTTGTATGGAACTCCTCTTCCTCTTCTATTTTTCCTTCCCCTTTCTTCTCCATCTCCCTTCCTCTTCCCTTCTTCCTCTTTATCTCTTACTTTCCTCCTCCCTCTCACCCTCTTTTCTTCCTTCCCTTCCTCATCTTCTTCATTTTTCCCCTCCTTCCTTCCTTCCTTCCTTCCTCTCTCCTCTCCTTCCCCTTTTCCTCTCTTCCTTCCTCCCTTCCTTCCTTCCTTCCTTCCTTCCTTCTTGACCTCATGGGCCATCCAGTCCAACCCCCTGCCAAGAAGCAGGAATATTGCATTCAAAGAACCCCCGACAGATGGCCATCCATCCATTATTATCCATCCAGTCTCTGTTTAAAAGCTTCCAAAGAAGGAGCCTCCACCACACTCCATAGCAGAGAGTTCCACTGTTGAACAGCTCTCACAGTCAGGAAGTTCTTCCTCATGTTCAGATGGAATCTCCTTTCAGTTAGAGTGAGTCCTCTCCACTCAAATAGCTTCGGAGAGCCATTAAAGTTCGGACTTCAACCCGGAGCGGACCTCACCGACCGACTAAAATAGAAGGCACCAGAATGAATGCAGTTGGACCCTGCTTGATCAGCCATGACGCAATGCTATGAAAATTCTTTGAATTGTAGTTTCACAGTCTTTTGCCTTCACTGCCAGAGTGCAAACTTACCGTATATACTCAAGTATAAACCGACCCGAATATAAGCCGAGGTATCTAATTTTACCCCCAAAAATTGGGAAAACGTATTGACTCAAGTATAAGCCGAGGGTGGGAAATGCAGCAGGTACTGATCAATTTCAAAATGAAAATAGATACCAATAAAATTACATTAATTGAGGTATCAGTAGGTCCATGTTTTTGAATATTTACATAAAACTGTAATTTAAGATAACTGTCCAACTCTGATAAAACCATTATTTTCATCTTCTCCAATGTAAATGTGCTTATGTATCCTTGCAATAATAATAAAGAGAAGATAATAAATGTAATAATTTATTAATAAAAATACATTTTATCATCTTATTCTCTTTATTATTATTGCAAGGATACATAAGCACATTTACATTAAATGAAAATAATAATATTATTAATATTATATTATTAATATTATATTATATTATTATTTTAATTATTATATTATATTATTATATGAATATTATATTATTATTATTAATAATAAATAAATTTATTAATAAAAATAAATTATTACATTTATGTATCCTTGCAATAATAATAAAGAGAATAAGAGGATAAATGTAATAATTTATTTTTATTTATCAATTATTACATTTATCCTCTTATTCTCTTCATTATTATTGCAAGGATACATAAGCACATTTATTAATAAAAATAAATAAATAATATTAATATAAATATAATATTAATAATATTAATATTATATTATTATATTATATTATATTATTATATTATTAATAATAATATTAATAAATAAATGTATTAATAAAAATAAATTATTATATTATATTATTATATTATTATATGAATATTATATTATTAATATTATTATTAATAATATTAATAAATAAATGTATTAATAAAATAAATTATTACATTTATTATTATTGTTATTGTTGATTAAAATGAGGGAAATGTAGTAAGAAGAGTTATAATAGAGTAAAATAATAAATGTAATAATGCTAATAGAGTAAAATTATAAATGTAATAATAATAATAATAATAATAATAACAATAACAGAGTAAAATAATAAATAACCTTGACTCGAGTATAAGCCGAGGGGGACTTTTTCAGCCTAAAAAAAGAGCTGAAAAACTAGGCTTATACTTGAGTATATACAGTATATCGCATTGAGCCACAGCAGTAAAACTGGTGTCAAACTGCATCAGCTTGACAATGTGAACGCACCCTCTGCTCCTCTGTTTCTCTCTGTTTCTCAATCCCACAGGAATTTGCTTCCTGCCTTTTTTCTGGAGGACCATTCTTGGAGATGCAAAACCTATTAAGCAGATTTTTTTGGCCTCCTTCCCTCTGTTTTTCCTGGCGGTCCAAGAGACCTGCTCAGGCATTTGGCTTGGCTGGCTCTCTGAATCCGGGTCAGTGGGCTAAAAGTGGAAGGAAGGGCTTTGCTGCTTAAAAGCTTACAGTCTTCTTCCTTCGAAGGGATCTTCTTCTTTCCAAGAGCAACTCGGAGAGAGAAAGAAGAGCTGTAACACAGGGATCGGGCATGGTGGGCCTTGGGATTTGTAGTCTGCCAAGGCACCAACCCTCTTTGGCAGAGGAGGCCAGCAACCTTGAGAAACTACAAATCCCATGATTGCAGAATATTGACCCAGGATAATTGGGACAAATGGCAGTTATACTTTGTGAAACTACAAAT